CGCACCACGTTTATAGGTTTCATTAACTTTTAATGAGTTGGGTGTCCTTCGCTGTGATTGGCTGGCAGAACGCTGCTTTCACTTCCTGGAACTGGAGCTGAGGGGGAAGTAAGGAGATATTGCAGCATGTTGGCTTCCACATTATGGCCATACGCTGCTGAATGTGCCACACTGGGTGGAAATGGGTCAGAAGAGGGGATATAATGTGGTACTCTTCCAAAGCAGAAACCCCAGATATTCATCAACACTGGCAAGCGCTGAATTTGAAACCTGGAGGTATGGAGTCTCGAGGGGAATAAAGAAAACCCTGGCAGATCAATCACGGCCACGCAGGCATCCCTTTACCACAGCTGACTGACATATCGCTTTATGGTTGCTTTTCCAACAAGGTTTGATCTCAAAGACAGGCTTGACACCCACTGGGAAATGCCTGTGGAATTACCAAAGAGGAGCATGAGTGCGTGCACACAAACGTTTCCAGCAGTCAACCCGAGCAATACTTCATATTTTGAGCATCTTTAATCTTCGTCCAATATAGTATATTTCTGCCTGGTTGATCCCACATCTATTATCTTGCATGGAGGGGTGTTTCTGTACGCTTTCTCCTTGAGAAGCTAATCCCCTCCTCCAGTGTGCGGCTGAGCCTCACTTCAGCACTCCCGAGAAACAAAGGCCCTTGCCTGTCATCTCCATTTTATCTCCATCACATTGACATTACGTGGAAATGTCCTCCATCAGACATTTTATATCTCCTTCGCCCTTGATTGCGCATTGGAAACTTTGATTGGTTTTGTAAGGAATGGTTTGACTTGTTCTCCATTAGCATGATGACTGATGGGTTGCAATACTTTACCAGGATAAACACTGACCATCCATCCACTTCCAGGCATATAAAAGCAGCATGGTAGTGAGAGGCACCCCGTCCTGGCGTGAATGGATCGCCTTTAGGTCAGTGAACGTCCCACCAGCTGCTGCCTCAATGTACTCAATGGGCATTGTTGGCAGACCTCTCTCCTTCTCTCTCTCTCTCTCTCTCTCTCTCTCTCTCTCTCTCCTCTCCTCTCGCTCTCTCTCCTCCTATCTCTCTCTCTCTCTCTCTCTCTCTCTCTCTCTCTCTCTCTCTCTCTCTCTCTCTCTCTCTCTCTCTCTCTCTCAGGACATGAAGGAGTCCTACACTGGAATGTCACATAGTGGTGTCGGAAGAGTGCGGACACATCACAGCCAGCGGCCGCATTCTCACCCTGTCCATCCTGCCATCTCTCTTAAACACAGACACACACCTTTTCTTTCCATCATAACATAACCCCAGACTGACCTCCATATGTCCAGATTTAGAAAATAACAGACACATCGGTCTACATTTTAAGACTAAAGTGTTAGATTCAATAAAGTGAACAGTAACCATTAAAAATTCAATTATGTTAGAAAAAAGGCAAAAACTGTCACATTTTTGTAGCAACAAAAACAAAGTAAAGAGCTTAGCTTCTGTACACATCTGTACATCCCTGATTATACAATGAAAAATGAAAGAACAAACCTCTCACTAAAATCAAATGTAGTTCTGTCTACACTTTGTGTTTGCAATACACTTAACCAACATTTAGCTATTTGGCAATAGTAAGTCTTATATTTATGCCTAATGCAAATGCTAATAATTTCAACATGAATTAAAAGTAAACTAATCCATCACCTCTTTGTTTTATTGCATGTAAAGGCCATTGAAGTCAAACATCAGTTCATTTCAGGATTCCAGTTTAATTTATTCTGGAATATGTTGTTTTGACATGTTAAACTATTTTCTTATAAATGTAGAAAAGGGTTAAACAAAAATCTAAGCCCATGCTGTTTATTTAAGGCCTGTTCGAAGCCCAATAACTTAGTTGAAATATGTGGGGGAAAATACATCAGTCTGAATTCCATTGCTAAATACATTATTTGTTATTATGTTCAATGTAAAATGTGTTTGTTCTGCAGTTTTACTAATATTTCCTCAATAAATACAAAACACATTAACATGAATGCATACATCTAATTAAATATTTGTATCTTTAAAAAAAAAAAACTCATAGCAATAAGTATTCATCTCTCCAGTGAAGGCCTATAAAAGGACAACAGACTTTAGAATGAAATGTGCTGTTTTTGTTATCTCAAGTTACAATCTAACATTTAATGTTCATCTTTATATATATATAGGCCTAGTATAGGCTGCCTTCAAATGTGCATTTTTCTCTAGTTTTAATCCTAAATTCCCAGTAAACCAATTATCAATAATATACAATAACAGTCAATAATAGAAGGAAAATAAAACAACAATATTACAGTTGCAATGGAGGCCAAAATAATAATTATTCGGTTTGAATCAACTAACTCAAATAAGTCATCCATGGCTTAAATTGTTATCTTATCGTCCGTATACATTTCACAATAATAAAATATCAATTGTCAAATATTTTTGTTTAACCACACATTTTTCTCAACAAAACAAATTATAATACCCTTACAATGAAAATGTGTATTTATCAGCGACAGATAAGTGCGCAGAACATTGGAGTCACACTGGGACGCTGTACGGACGCAGGGGCTGCCGGGAGCGTTACCCCGGGACGGGCCCCTGCTGAGAAACCATGGGTGGCTTTGAGTTTTGACTTTGTGGTCCCTTTAATATACTGAGGGACGGCAGTTTGCCTTGCTAAGATATGGGATTAGGAGTATTTCTGCTGAAAGAGGAGTTAAATCGGACTAGTGTGGACGGTCCCTCCCCTCCAAAAGGCTGAGACAGAATTACAGCTTGTTGGACCGGTGTCCCGCCGTCACCATGGAGACAGATCTACTTGGGTGTTCCAGTCCGCGAGCTGCAGCGCAGAGCCTATAGGTGTGGCATGCGCCCTGCTGCAGCTACAACACCATCTGACTGCAGGAAATCACTCCTCATTAATACCCAGAAATAAAATCCGAGATATGAATTATGATTAAGAGTTGTATCCTAAAGGAATGATCTCCTATCTGACTGCTCTATAACACTCCCCTGAATGCATTTTATCATATTTCTCACTTTTGTATACACATAAAATGCCGCCCTTTTCCGTGCGTAAAACTTCTGTTTGCAATAGGCCCTTACCCTGCTATATTCAGCTGACGCCCATGGGTGGATGCTTATATGGCTTATAAGGGACTGAGTCATTCAATGAAAATAGATGCCCAAACTCGTCTGGCATTAAAATGCATCGCTGTAGGGTATGGCCTACATATCTCACTTCGGAAGTCTGCTACAATTAGATGCTATTTAAAGACATGACAGGAACGAAAGTTAATAATCTATTGTTAAAGTATAAGTCTGCAACACATTGAAATTGTAAACAATAAATTATAATGATGATCGGCTATATAATTTATCTTTGACCTATTTTAACAACTTTAAAATAATTATTTTTAAACATCTGCACATTTTTCCTGTCAGATCCCAGCAGCCATTCTGGTGCAAAGACGCGTCTGATCGCTTTGTGTCCTTGTGGGAACGAAGGTCTGATTTTCAGGCCTTAATCAAGATATATGCAAATACCACCCGAAGAAATGCAGAGAAATCAGGTTAGGAGGATCAACAGGCTGCACCATCCTTTATTCAGTTGCTATAACAACAGATGTATATGGTGCCACGCTAGGATGATGGTGCCACGCTATCCTCCCTGATGGAAAGCCTGTACAAAGTTAGGAGATGTGGAAGGTGCAGCGATGTGGCCTCGGCGCACTTTTGTCCGCCAGTACAGATTGAGGTTGGTTACCTTTGAACCGGCAAAGCTCCAAAAGGCCATTCCCATCTCAGTGCGCGCCAGAGAGGGCTTGACTGGGGTTATCCCGCCTTCAAAGGAGCGGAGAGAGCCGTGTCCGGATACAATTGTTTAATGTTGGTTAATGGACATTTTGAAGGGCTCTCCATCTACCTAAAATGTGAAGAAGCAAGTTATCCAAATACGGCTTCTTGGACATTTATATTGCATCAAAAGAATTGCAGAAATTATATGGAAGCCTTATTTCATTATTATTATTATTATTATCATTATTATAATAAGGCTAGTTATTAATTATTACATTTGCAGTATTAATAGGCTATTATTATGGAATGTATTTCATTTGAAAAATCAGTGTTAAATTACGATTCACATTTAAAGTATTATCAATGCATCGCTATTAAAGCTCATTTGAATAGCTATAATATGCTGTAATAAGTTTCGATTTTGTACAAAGAAAAACGTTAAACCTTAATTTAATAAAGGCTTGCCATCATAAATCACGAGCTGTTTTATTCAGGCTTTATTTAAAATGTATTGATAAAAAATACCTTGAAAATAACAATATAATAATAATAATATAAATACAATAAAGGCAGGAGAAGGGTCAGTGCTGCAGCATAGCGTGCTTTCCATGAGATCAGTGCAGCAACAATATCAGTCAGCCGCACACTGCAAAAAATACCAATTAAAAAAAAATAAGCCATAAATCACGTTTCCGGTGTCAAATCAATTTAGATTGTTTTTATAATCAAGTCATATTTTTCTGTAGTTATCCTGACACATAATCTTATTTTAAGGGATCGCCAGCACATAGCACTCATTCAATTATCTTATCCTCGTTTGACTTTTTAAGTAACATGTTAAATGAGAGTAAATCACCTGCTAGTGACAGGTTGTTTTTTTTTGCAGTGCAGCAGGATCCCTCTCCATCTCGCTATACTCAAAGACACAGAAACTTGCAGCAGCCTCTATCGCACAACCTGCAGATCCATCAGATTTGCACCACCCTGTCGTGAAATCCAATACGTCTTCTGAATTTAGGATATCATCCGACCTCCACCACCACCACCACCACCCTCCCCCAGCACCACCACTCCCCCCCCCCCCCCCCCCCCTCCTCATGCATGTCCGGGAACGACCACCCTTCTGCCTCCTTGCTTAACAAATCTTTAAAAATATAGAACATTATAGAAAAAGGAAAAAGCGTCATACCTGTGCAAAATAGCCGGTGCTTGTTGTTGGCAAGCCACACAGGAGCCCATTGTAGAAGCTCGCCTTCTGCCTTCTGCAAAGGGCTCCAGACATCACGGCATTTATTTGAGCTCAAACTCTGTCACTGTTGACTTTAGCACAAAGCAAAGATTTCACTGCCCCGCTAGTTAAAAAAAAGATTATTTTACAGAGATATCGATCAGTGTGCTATAAAAAAAAATCAGCTTAGCATTATATGTCTAAAATGAATAGAACGAAATGTAATGTCTGTGTAAATTTACAGAGCTGCGGCGTCCTATTCAAAGTTTACACTTGTGCAATTTGGTTTGTGTGTGTACTCTATACCTATACACGGGCATAGCCTCCACTCCATTGTTTACTGCCTTTGTTTATTCGCAGATCACGCTGTTTAAAGTCTACGATCTGTAAAGAGGGTCTGGAGAATAAACGCACTTTAGGCCCTACGTGTTCAGAAGGCGAAGGGGTGTCATTTGATTATAAGGGGAGAACAGGTTTCCCCACCATTACTCCCCGGCCTTGGATTTGAGCTCAGCAGGGAGGAGTAGGGAGTTCGATTCTTTTTTGGACGACAACTAGCCTATCTTATCTAACAAGAGGGGAGGGTCCAACTACTTTAAAATAGGGAGTAGACAATGGACCCCCAGATTGTGGGGAGAGAAGTTAGAGCATCACATTCAGGCTTCTCTGTTCCCAAATCAGCCCCTTTTTCCAGCTACCATTCTCCTGCTCCATGGGGAGGCTGTTTTATGTGACAATGACACTTAATCTTATTCACTGATCTAAACTTTGTGTGTGTGTGTGTGTGTGTGTGTGTGTGTGTGTGTGTGTGTGTGTGTGTGTGTGTGTGTGTGTGTGTGTGTTGTGTGTGTGTGTGTGTGTGGTGTGTGTGTGTGTGTGTGTGTGTGTGTGTGTGTGTGTGTGTGTGTGTGTGTGGTGTGTGTGTGTGTGTGTGTGTGTGTGTGTGTGTGTGTGTGTGTGTGTGTGTGTGGGGGGTGTGTGATAGAGATCAACCTGGGGTGACTGGCAGGCAGGCAGGCATGCTGTTTGAGTGACAGTGCTAGATATATTTGAATGTGTCTCACTGTATGTGTGGGAATTTAAATGGCTGATTTAATATGATCTGAGCAACTCTCACACACCCATTCCTTTGACTTGAAATTGTTTTAATTTAGGCCTAATTTAAATGTGTGCATATTTTCATTTTGAGTAGATTGTTTTATTTCCTGCTTTCTTCTTCTGAAATGCGTCTATTTTGCGTCACTTCAGTGCCAGCATGTTGCCAGGCTGATGTGTTTGGATAAACTTTTCCCCCCGAAATATCTCACTTTGCGTTCGGGATTAATAACCGTTTGTCTGATTTGTTTACATTTTCCTAATGACAGATTGGGCGCATTGTTCGCGTTGTTGTCCAACAAATCTATTAATCCCTGCTGAAAACATGCGCCTTATTTTAAAAGCACATGGATAAGAATGTGTTTTAATTAAATAGGAAAAGATCCTGAAACTCTTGTATGCCCACGGAATTTGATCGTGTCATTATACATATGAATACAAAGCTATATCTTGATTTTAAATACAAATAAATAATTGTCTTAAATTGTATTTTCCTCTTACACATTTACATTTTTTTTTACATATCATTTGTTTAATGTAAACGTATTCAAATGTATATTTTTCTTAAATAAAAAATATTTTGACCTACTATTTTTCTCAATCTGTTATATTAATTTATATAATCAGAATAGTCATTATAGTTGTATAAGTTTATAAGTGAACCATCAATATGAACACAATTGCTATGGTTGCATGGTAGAGACGCCTCTTCTGCTGTTGCATATAATAATAATTATAATTATATTAATAATAGTAGTAATACGAATAATAATAAAGGTCAAACACGAGCATTTTCAGAAAACAAAACCAATACCACTTTAATATAGATTCTGTTCTTGTCACTACAAGAATACACATATACAAGCCATAAATAGGAATTACACAAATGATTGAAGAAATCCTGCGAGACATTTTAAATTCATTTAGGAATCCAGGGTTGCAGATGGAGGCTATTTTACAGCAAGTCGTTGTTGTTGTTTGTCTTTGGGGTCCACTCCTGAAGCCGACTTCTGAACAGATCTCATCACATTATCATTAATTTGCATTATTAATATTATCATCAACATCCTCTCTCAAAATAATTAGCCTACTAACAAACTCGACAACTAAAACAGTGGGAAACGTCAAAAATATTTGAAATACATATTGTACACAAACTCTATATTTATTTTTACAAATGTACAAATTGAAGGGGAAGAAAGTCCGCATCACACGTGAGGGTTTCAGAGTTTATGAGGAGTTCATGATCGGCCTGGAATACACGCCTTGGTAGTAAGTTGTATCAGGTATGGAGGAAGAATCCAGCCCGGCTTTCCCCGCCATGGAGCTCATGGAAAGAGCCCCGGCCATGGGGGAGCCATAGCCGGAGTAATGCATCACCTGCTCGTAAGTCTTTAGGTCCATTTTGTGATGCTGCTGCTCCGAGGACATGAGGTTATTTATGGAGAACGGGTGGTTGAAGGAGTAGTGGTGCTCCGGCCTTCAGGTGCGCGTCATGCGCCAGGACCGAGTGATGCTGAGAGTGGGCCATGAGGTGCTGCGCCTGCGACACCGGAGAGGGGGCGGCGTGCTCCGGGCTCAGGGCCTGGCTCGCCTTCATGTCCGACAGGGACCTCTTGTGCTCCCCGGAGGAAGAGTTGGAGTGCGGGGACTCGTTGCCGTTGCAGCTCTCTGAGCTACTGTTGGAGGAGCCTCCGTCTCCACCTTTGCGGCCGCCCTCCTTCGAGCTCATCTTCTGCTTATCGCACTTGAAGCGCTTCTGCCTCCTCAGGTAGCAGCCGTTCTCAAACATGTTCCCGGAATCCGGGTGGAGAGTCCAAAAGGAACCCTTCCCGGGCTTATCCGGGGACCGGGGCACTTTGAGGAAACAGTCATTGAATGACAAAGAGTGGCGGATGGAGTTCTGCCAGCGCTGCTGGTTCTGCCGGTAAAAGGGGAACAGGTCCATTATCCACTGGTAGATCTCGGCCAGGGTGAGCATCTTGCTGGGGGACTGCTGGATGGCCATGGTGATGAGGGAGATGTAGGAGTACGGGGGCTTGGCGTGCGTGTAGCTCCTGCGGTAAGTCTTCGGGTCTCTGGACCTGTTGATGTTAGACTGTCCGTAAATGGGGCTCATGGCGTTCATGTTGGTGTAGGATGTCAGCGCGTTCATGGAGGAGGGCTGCGCCGTCATGGGGCTCATGCTGGGGCTCAGGGCTGCACTCATGGCCGTCATGCCCGCGCCCATGCCGTTCATGGCTCCGGTGCCCGGTGACATGCCGGTCATGGAGGGACTCATGCCGGTGTTGACGTATGACATGTTCATGGAGTTGGCCGTCATGTTGGCCGGGTTGCCCATGCCGGACATGCTCATGTAGGTATTCATAGAATTCATTCCCAGGCCGGTGTTCATGTTGCCAACCGAGGTGTAACACTGTCAGTGAGGGAAAGAGGATCATCAGTCTCAGGTGGCACAACAGTTAGGAAATAATAACTATAAATATTAACACAGTTTCCATTTCAGCCTCATACAGAAAATGATAGCATTATTTGGAAATAAGACAGCAATTATGCAAGTAGGCACTTGTTCGTAAAAGTAGCTAGATGTAACATAGGCTTTTGCTCTTGCGTAAAATAGTAAAATACTAAAAACGCAGATGTATATGTCTATCCACTAAATTAAGTTAAATGATCTGCAATAAATGCACATGTCGATGAGGATGTGACTGTGTTCACCCTCAAACAGCGACTGTAACACAAGTGTTTAAACCCATCTCCCCAAATCCAAACAGCTCGGATGTTTGTCGAGTGGAAACATTACAAAATAATCAGATTTAGTAAAGATACCTATAGATTTATTAAACATAATCTGAGTTAAAAGTATCTCCCCCCCTTACATGTCAAGCAACTTTATTAGGATAGTGCGCTGCGTGGAGATGGGGGAGGATTTGGAGGCGCCTCAAGTCAATATTTGATCACAAAGTTAATATTATCTCAGGGCTAATATTGAGTTGTATAAAATGGGATTGGCTTTAGACGAGGGGGAAAACATATATTTAAGGTACCCACCTCGGGCTCTCCGTAGTAGGTGCTCCAGTCGGTGTGTTCGTGTCCTTCCATTTTAACTGCTCCAAGCATCATGGAGGACTTTTACCATGCGTCTCCCAGCAGAGGGAAAAGCCAAAAGTCTCTCGTGACAGGGGACCACCAAGTGTATATGGGTCGTCGGTGTCCCTTCGTCAAGCACTGGCGTTGATGTGTGTCTTAATGTGTCCAGCCGTGAGACGCGTCTGTCAGTGAGTGCAGTTGAAATGACGCTCCGTGCTGCCTGTTAACGCTGTGATATAGCTCTGAGCGCCAGGCAAGCCTCCAATCCCTACTTCTACGCCTTGGGCCCTATTTGAATAATCTCCTCGCACCTAGGCGTGAGACTCCTCAGGCTCCCCCCCTCCACCCCAATTGTACTACACCTGCACCGACTGAAAAGAACAGTTCCTTATGAAAAGCTTCATTATAAACTAATCTTATTGTATTTCTTTGGCTGAGGCTATGAAGAAAAAAAAGGAGTTATAAGAGGAATGTTTGGCGCTCTTCTTTGGTGTGCTTTTCATTACGCATATCCTCCTCCAACGTCCTTATTCCACTTCAACTGAGCTGGAATCATAAAGTGTTTTTATTGCGTTGCGTTCAAGGAATTTGTATCAGAAACCTGTGTACAAGTGTTATCATTGTTACACTTAAACCCTAAGAGTTTTCAAATATGAATGAGTTGAGGGTGGTCCATCGTTACGAACGTTTCTGCAAACATTAATCATATAATGCAGGTATTTATCAGTTGTTTAATTCACATTAAACTGTTTTATATTCATTAGGCCTATGTTTTTTAACCTGCCAGGAAAAAAATAAGCCTGATGTTCGCCTGGATGTGCACTTTAGTACCACATTTAAATGATGTTAGCTCCTTTGATATTATTAAAAATAAAAGCCATTTGCCCCAGCTGTTTACAGACCATGCTCTTAACCACTTAGTTTCCACATCGTTGTCACTATTAAAGGGTATTTTCATCTACAATATTTCA